GATAGGCATATTACTGTCGTGGTCTCCAAGATTGAGTTCAAAGATGAGAGTCGTGGAGGTCGTTATGTCCCCGTAATAGGACCTTTTGTGTTTAGAAATCCCCCACCTACATCTGCTTGGAGACAGCCGACAGCTGGATATAGCCAGGGAACCCCATAATGGGATGGGATCAAATGACGTTACATTGAGGGATTGTACTATAACTTCAGCAGGGGGAGGATAGGTTGGACATATGTCAGGTTATTTTCTACGGCCACACCAAGTAATTGCTATGGATGACGTCCACTGGAGACCTTAAATCTAATTACCTTAAATTTAAGGCAAGCGCGCAATAAAAACACGAAGGGCCGAAAAACGAGATGCCTAGATTTAGAATATACTAACTGTAGAAGTACAAATGTTAGGACACAAAGAACACAAGAAACAAGTCTTCTATTTGTCATAAAGACAAATTAACAAAACAGCAGTAGTCACCCTGTTCTGATTCTGTCCTTTATAACATCTTCTCTTATTATATTTTACGGCGCTGTCGTGACACTTTCAACACAGTGAGAATTTCTTGAACGTTTTTTTTCCAGTAACAGTCCAAACTCAAATAACGTAGGGGGGGGGGGGCTAACACGGGTGACAACGCATCTGTACAATCTGCGGCAAACCGTTTCAGGGTGTTCTGTACCATAAAAATAGTACAGAGATTCTTTTGTTCTTTAGACCAAATTGATTATTAAAAAGAGTGAAGAATACGCATGTTAATTTCTCTAGAACGATGTACCTCTGACGAAGACATGAGATCTCCGACCTCCAGTTGCAGAAATGCTTTACAGTGTAATCTTCATCAACAAATCAAATCCTTGAGAGTATACAAGATACAATGTATTTATTCATAACAAAAGGAGTTCTGAATTATATTGATACAATATATTGATGATGATTGATGCTGCAGTAAGATGACGCCCGACCTGATGATGATGATGATGATGATGATGATTGATGCTGCAGTAAGCAATAATTTTCACGTACGTTTCTACCAGTGGCCATCTAAGCACCACATTTATCATTCTTTGAACGCCTTTCTAAAAAAGAGGGCAGATCACCAAAAAAGATTCAGGAAAAATACCATTTCCTTACGATTACTATTGATTGATTAACATTGTACATTTCTATAGAATACAACACTTCAATTGTTAACAATGCATGGTGACAGCCGACAGTCTCAATTGCAAGTTGTTGACTTGTTTTCAAGCCGCTGTATCGTGGTGAACGCTGGTTTGGTCACCTATGTACATCCTGAAAACAATAAACAAAATTAGCATTATGTGTGTCTTTGGTACGTTGCACAGTAGTGATGATTTGCTTCGTCGTCAACGAATTAACAAATGCCATGTGTGTCAGTGATTTTAGTAACTAGAATGTCTATCTCACGTACGTGGAGTGACTTGGCATATGAAGGGATATCGTTCACTGCATGGAGCGGTCATCCACTTGTCATACAAAGACGGTGTGTAGGCCGCGCAATTACCCGTGGACGGCTCTCTGGGCCGATACCAATTGTCGTACGTCCCAAGTGCAGTACCGTCCGCCCACTTAAAGCTTCCTTTTGGGCGATGCAGGCCGAACCAGAAGGGACTGCTGTTGTCTATGGCCATCCACAGGGAGTAGAGGTGGGCGTCGGTTTTAGCGTCTCGGGGCATGGCAAGGACGCCGCGATCTTGAGAACAGATCCCGGTCGCTTCGACGAAGGTCTTCCAATCGTAGAAGACTTTGAAGCAGAATCCACACCACTTAGGACAAGGCACTGTGAACAAAATGTTGCATCAGCCAGGACGGGCCCTGTCACATACGACGATCGCAAATTGAGAGCAATCTGAGACAGTCATGCATGTGTCCTGCAAAATCGAACGACGACCTACGACAAATGTGACCATGCATGTAATAACGGATGAAGATGAAGACCAAAAATGGCCACAAGACTGACACCCAACTTTACAACCGGCTTTTATTAGCAAGTCGCCGATTAAAAAACAAAAGACGTCTATCATGGTAGACATTAGCCATCGGATACAACATTTGACATCACATTGCATGATGTACAACTTGACAGATCAAAGTGTCAGGATCAACTACTGGTCACGTTCACGACACGACAATTTCACACCTCTTACAATAACATCAGTAAATAGCTGTGTACTTGCAGTAAGTGACTAACCGGAAGGGCACGGACACATCTTCACTTCTGTCTGACCAGGCGGCCCGGCGTTCCCTGGAGGGCCCATTGGTCCCTTTTCTCCTTGTGATCCAGGGGGACCAGGGAGCCCAGGACCAGCTGGACCCAAGGTTCCCTTTTCTCCACGAGGTCCAGGTGGCCCGGCAGTCCCGAGGCCAGGTGGACCTATGGGCCCCTTTTCTCCTGGAGGCCCAGGTTGCCCGGCAGACCCAATGCCAGCTGGCCCCATTGGCCCCCTTTCTCCCGGAGGTCCAAGTGGCCCGGTAGACCCGATGCCAGGTGGCCCCGTGTCCCCCTTTTTTCCGGGAGGACCAGGCGGCCCGGTAGACATGGGACCAGCTGGCCCTATGTCCCCCTTTTCTCCTGAAGGCCCACGTGGACCAGGAGGTCCTGCCACTCCTGCCCTGCCTAGACCAGATAAGGCATTTTAAGAACTTCCCATTTCGTCAATGATCCGGGATACACAGAAATCACGCAAAGTTCTATCAGACAGACGTTTCGTTTACAAGAATAAAGTATGTTGTATCAAACATATATGATGTATCCAGTAGTAAATCAATGTACAATTAGACAATGCATCAGTGATAATGCACTACGAATTGAAGACAAACTGCTTACCTTCCAGCTCGTGTAAGCGTGCTTGAAGCTTCCCCATCTCTTTGGTGATAGTAACTCGCACTGTAACAAGACATCGAAAATTTCACACCCCCCGTGAAGTATTTAAAGTTGACCCCCCGTGAAGTATTTAAAGTTGTTGTGAATTTCTTGTTTTATTAATAGTGTCAATTTCTTGCTGATTCTGTGCATATTCCACTGTCACGGAGACTATTTTGAGCTCAGATTCGACCCTCATGCAGACTGCGGTTACACCATTTCTCCCCTAATTTTCTGTGGCTCTACTGTATTCAAATGATTACGGCCATACAAACAAACAAACTCACGAAACCTCTGTACACGCAGGTAACAACAAACATAAAGATCACCGTCGCTAAACAGTGCACAAAACTAGAGGATCTTTCCAGTATCATCATACCATATTTCTTAATGATAAATGGGAGGCTGACCTGCAAAATATGTCGACAGTACGGCGATGAACACGACAAGCACAGGGACCAGAATTTGCGACAACTCCCTTAACCAACCGATGCAGGTCGCCTTGCGGGTTGCTGTTGGAGAGAAAATAATAGAAGCGTCGTTGTGGGCTATCGTAAATCACAAATCTGTAACGTTATGTTATACGAGTACATATTCATACATCCTGATGGTAAAGGGGCTCGTCACCTCATGCATATGTATGTTGTTTATGGTTATGAAAGAAATGAAAAATATCAAAACTAAACAAAAAATGAATCGATTAAGAAATGTAGTGAAAAGGAAAGCTGATATTGTTTAGAAAAGTAGCCCTGAAGCTCATGGCCAAAAGGAAAGGTTGACCGAATGATTAGAATTCAGGAATATCAAGTAGAAATTTTAAAAATACACTTATATGTGCGCAATTTATTTAGAATCATAACGAGAACCACAAAGCAAGGGGGAAAAAAAGAAAACCAGGACGCTGTGACAGTCCAGGACTGGAAAGTTTTACCTGTTCCAGAGTTGTACATGGGGTTGGGTATGGTCCCAGCGGTCTCCTCGTGCGCCCGATCACTCCGGGGCTTCTGTCTGGGTGTGGCGCCTGAAAAAAACGGAAATATATATCAAGATGCAGCTGTTGAACGAGCTGAAATATCTTAAACTTAGTAGTAAATATTGCTATCTCTTTTATACAACCGTTTGAAAGAACAACATATCGCCACCTGTTCCTTTCCGGGGCTGCTGCTGTTCTGCCGACATGATGCTACTTGTCAGGTTTCTGCACAGCAAAAAACACGTCCTACACCAGGCAAGACGCTTGTCGACTGAAGCATAGCCCCAGACTCAAAGTAATGCGAAGCCTTAAATCACGAAATTAGAAACCAGAGATGAAAGAAAATCGTTTGGGGCTGGTAACAAACATCAATCATGTCACAGTCGAGACAAATCATATGAATACGCAATTGGTTTGTTTGCTACACATTGAAAGTAACAGCCTTTTTATGTTCGTGTTGAAACAATGTACCTTTATTAGATACATTTATACATAACTACCTACGTTGTAGGAAAACCCCTCTTTCTAAACTAATGCCACTATAGTCTCCGTCAATCACAAGACGACATCGACATTTTCACTAAGAGTATGGTTGCCAAAAAGTCAAACCTACAAGTACACAATAAAACATCAGCTACAAGAATCTGAACAGGGCAGCGAGTGCAAGGAGCCCCGTTAGAAATCGGATGGCAGCCAGGCTAAACAATAACATGTTTAGATATTTAAATGCCGCTCATTTGCAAGATAGTCTTCACAGCAATGGTTAGCTCAATAGCGCCCTCTAACGACCCAGGTATCCTAGGTTGTTGAGATGCCCCAAATAGTTAGATCGTATCGCAGTTCTGATTAGTCGTTCTAGGCTCGATTTCAAACGAAGTTATTGATTGGCCAGTTGGCGTTCGATTGTGATGTAATAATAAAACATCGACAAAGCTGGTCACTGCGAGAGGCGGTTACGTTGGTTGTTTTTGTTTAGTTGAATAAGACAGCTCAAGGTGAGTAGGAAGTAGCCTCCTGTGCAGGCCTCCGGGCGGGTGGGAGTTTTGCGTGGCGGGTACAAACTTTCTATGAGCGGCTGGTTGTAGGATGGCCGGCAAAAGAACGCGTTAAAAGAATCTACAAAACGCAGTATCAAAACTACTATCCGCCCGGAGGCCTGAACGGGAGGCTACGTAGGAAGCTTGTCCCTTAGATGGGTGCTTTTATTTTTAACTTGGCCGTTGCAACATAGCGGAGAAAAAGCCTTGTTTACATTCATGAGCGTGGGGGTGGAGTGAAGGCTGCAACTTAGCCTGCAATGCTACGATGTTACATCTGTACTTTGTCATTTTCTTTTTCTGTCATAGATTTTAACGTGTTATTGCTGCCTTGGTCAGAAAAACAACTCACAGCACATTTTGAAAGATAACACGGACGAACAAACGTAATTCTGGGAGCAATGAAATTGAACAAGTTTCGCCGTAAATGATTAATTGGCCAATAGTGGCAAAACAGCAAAAACCTCGTGTAGGCTACCTCCGTAGTCCACTCCTATGAACTATATTATGGCAGTTACAAATACGTCAAGGGGAAGTAGTGATTACGTTTTTCGTCCCGTTCTAATTGTTAAATCCCGTTTAATTGTTCTGGAACAAGGCATCGGCATTATAACTACTAGTAGTACGACAACAGGGGACGGTGGTCGACAATGTAGTTTGTAAGGATAATTGCTGCGGTCGGTCGTATTTTCTTGTTCAATTTCAATGTTATTTCCCCAACATTCAGTTGTTACGTTACAAAACTACCGTTCTTCATGACGTCACAAGGCGGTGTTGATTTCGTGACGCTTCAATGATTGTACACGTTGCTAGGCAACCTGGTTGTTGACAACGCCGCCATGTCTAACAACATGCACGACGGGGCCGGTCGACCGGCAATGACTTCTCCGTAAACCATCAACTAAAACACGAGTCTTCAGGACAGATAAAGGTTCACACAAAACAGTGTAAACCCGCAGCAAGTTATGCAGCAAGGACAAGCACGACAAGGTAAGATTCAGCTTTATTTTGTCGTGTTTTTTTTCAAAAAGTGATCATTCTCAGGCCCGGTCAAACGTACGTGTTGCTACATTGTTACAATTAGTCATGTAACATGACCCGGGTGTATCAAGACCTACGTCTGCCACATATAACTGTAACGTTATATATTTTGCAACTTGTGTCATCTTCGATTGTAAAGGGCTACCAAGAAGGAGCGTTTTATGTCTTAGCTCACTGCACAATGCAGAATTTTGGTATTCAGGCTATAAGATTGTACCAAACTGCACTAAATTGCGATATCCCCCTCCCCATGTTTGCCACTCCTTGATACCTTGGTACGTCGTACGGGTGAGAGGGAATCCGTCAGAAACGTGTTCGCCCCAAAATAGATTTTTTTCTGAGCGCAATCAATTAATGTTTTCAATTTTGCTATTAACGTTAACTTAAGGTCACATGTGCTGAACTTGATATCATCTAAGGGCACCATATTTTTACTTGGCAACAGCGTTGTTGACAGCAAAGTGATGAACTCGCTACAATCAGCAGACCTTTTTTGACCGTTTGCAGTGACATGGGTTTTGTTGACAGATCAAAGTCACTTTATTTTAGGTGTTCTACGTTGAAACTTTGATATGACACTATGTTGCCATCTCCATTTCATATAACGTGTTCTAGAGCAATGTCATTGACGAGGTCATCTGAGGTCAGTTGCTACGCAACGATGCTGTTTACAAACAACCCCGCCTACCAGCTGGAGACTGGGCCTTGCCGGAGGCGTACACAGAAGAAGACTTTCCCGATAATATGAACAATTACACGAGTTTGGACGGCAAATAGAGTACATGATAACACAAAACAATCTTTTTCAGGTCCTGCAGCACCGGAAAGAGGTAGGATTGCCCTTCCTTTATGTCTGCCACGCTCGTGTTTGCCTGTTTTTTATGTGGTGTAGTGGCGGCGCAGCATACGTGGCGAAAATGTTCTAAAGTACTGAAATATTCGCAGTGGTTTGATGCCATGGCACCGCGTTACTACAGTTGCTTGTATTACAGTATTTGTGAAATCCAGGCTGTGTTGGTCAAGTACATTGAAGTATTTTAATCTAGTTCAGTTTTAGAGGCTTCAAAGTAGTTACCTCCTTACTTGTACAGAAGGAGGTTGAATTTTCAGATGAAAATGATCCCCCCACAGGCTGAGAGGAAGTGACAATGGAATTAGCTGTGAATCAAGAAAGAAATTCACAACACCTTCGGTTGGGGAAAGTCGTACTGAGGTCACCTTGTGGCGCCTTGCGGCAGTTCCACAAAAGTGTGTGGAGCAAATACTAGTATGTTAACGTTATATTTATCATGCATATGTGTATTACGTGAATGTTTGTGATTATTGATTGATTCTTATGTGATTGTAAACCCTGCATCAATTCAGCGCTATAAAAGGCTGCGATTGCACAGGTAATGTTTGACCAACAAACCAACCCACACCTCTAAATACACTACGGAGATTTTTGTTTCCTTACGGCGTTAGTCCCCCACCCTACTGCTGGGCCCTCAGACAGCGCTCCTGCAGCAGTGACCACGTGGGATCCTGTGTTACTGGGAAATTTAAAAAAAAGGAAGTTTACATTTTACACGCAACAACACACCCACAACTACCCCTCACTATACCCACTTCTCTTCTTAGGACAGAACAAGTCGAGTAACATCTGAAAGTTTAGAAATGTTGTGTGAGATATAACCCTGAGTTGTTTCGTTTTAAAACTCCAGGGAGAATAGCATTTGTCTCTAAATTATACGGAGGCTAGTGGAGTAATAGAGTATCAGTGTAGAGCATTAGGAATATATGATAGTATATGTTATCATTTATGAGCCTTGTGTGTACATAAGCATGAGGTTTGACATACAGAAGGCGTTAGTTATCATTTATGAGCCTTGTGTGTACATAAGCATGAGGTTTGACATAAAGAAGGCGTTAGTTATCATTTATGAGCCTTGTGTGTACATAAGCATGAGGTTTGACATAAAGAAGGCGTTATCATTTATGAGCCTTGTGTGTATATAAGCATGAGGTTTGACATAAAGAAGGCGTATTATCATATGTATAGATAATTTTAGATGAACCATAAATTTGACTTGGTCTGTCCTACCCACTCTCTCATTGCACTTCACCCTTTCCCCCGCACGCACCAATAGAGCCCCCGCACACACGTTTACCTCCCCGGGATAGTCAAGGTTATCCCATTGAAACATGAGGAGGGGGTAGCATGGGCTTCTGTAAACAATTCTGGCCATGTGGGATAGCCTTATTAGGTAACATAACACACACTGAAGGGTACACATGGGGTACAGGGGGGAAGGAGTAGCATAGGAGAGTCTCAGGGAGGTAGCCCCCTGGGGAGACCCCAGAGTCGTAGAAAGCTGCAGGGGTGCGGTGTAGGGTGTTGGACTAGTGTCCACTGCTGAAACGTTTGGGTTGATAAAAGAATTTCAAGATACAGAACAAACGTCCCAGGACCATCAACAAAGGTATTTCCCCTCGCTTCAAAGTTTGTTCGCAGCTGCAAAAAAAGACTTTCCAACCAAAACATTGGCTCAAACGATGTTCTTACATTCCTCGACCAAAGATTTAAAGAAATGGATTATGTGATGTGTTCTGATGTGATGTGATTTCGGGCTTCAGACATAGATGTAACCATGTGTATGGCCAATTGTGTACAAACCACGTACTAGTAAGTTACATAAGCTGACTATAGATGTACTATGGCTGTGCTGGCATGTATTTCTGCTTCACTTACCTTCTCTTCTATTTTCATGGCTAATTCTTCTTTTTCTTCTCTTTTTTTTGCGATTTTTCATTTTATTGTTTTTCCTTTTTATTATTTTTTTTTGCTGCCTTTTCCCTTTCCCTTTTGTTTTTTTTTCTTTTTTCTTTTTTGCTGCCTTTTCCCTTTTGTTTTTTCATTTTTTACGATTTTTCCTTTTTTGATGCCTTTTCCCTTTTGTTGTTTTTCATTTTTTTTACGATTTTTTCTTTTTTGCTGCCTTTTCCCTTTTGTTGTTTTTCATTTTTTACGATTTTTTTGTGCTTTTTCCCTTTTGTTGTTTTTTCATTTTTTATTTTTAATCTTTTAATTTTTTTTTTCCTTTTTCTACTCTATTTTCTTATTTTTCCCTTTTGTTACCTTTCTTTCTTTTCCTTTTGCTTCTTCGTTTTACTGTCATTACCGATATACCTTCTTTGGTTTTATATTAAACTTTCATTCTTTAGTTGTACGATTATATCGTCTTTCTGTATTGTGTTAGCTTATTCTTTCAGCTGCTTGATTGAAGGATTAATCTTATTTTCTATTACAGTGGTCGCATTAGCTTTGAGTTGTTCATTTAGTTTCCTCTTTATGTTTGTCTAGAACACTTTATTCTGGCACTTCGACATATAGATTTAGCCTGCAATGAGAACGAATTGATGTAACGTCATTATCTAAACATGTACACATATATACATGTACTCGTACCGCGTCAGTAGTCCCAAAGGTAAGCACACTTCAGTGGCTCAGGTTTTTCTTGAATAGGCATCGATAATAACGTTGTTTTTTATGTGGCTGTCTTTTGCATTTGGTACCCACCGGAGTGATACAAGATTTGCCGTTACGTACGGGATTGACAAGAAACCAGTATAATTCTTCAAGTTTTGATTCCTTCTTTTCCGTTTTCCATGTGACTTTTCTTGTCTTTTTTTTCAGAGTCCAGGTGAATACATGTGGTGTGTGGGCATCACTTGTATTCCTCCTCTCAACAGAGATACACCTTTTGGACACAAACTACCAATTTCGGAGTGACAAGAAAAAATCATATCATAACTACTGTATATGAAATAGTCATTTATATCCTCGTTACATGCCTAAATGGATACCTATGTTAAGAATATGACGCATGCGAAACATTTTTTACTGTTTTTATATGATTGGAATACTTAAAACTATCCCGGATAAACGTTTACCAAAGACGAAACTGCATGAAATCTAATATTCAAACATACCTTAAGCAAGCGTTAAGATTCCGTTTTTTCAGTCGACTGAAATATCAGGGCCTGTATGTCTGTTGTCCATTGACGTCTGTTGAGAGGACCCTGGCTGTCTGTCTTTCCCATCCGTTGGACGGTGACAGGTCTCGCCTCCACGACTAGGGTGCCGTCTGGGCAACAACAGGACTGAAAAAAACAACATCGTTTTACATTCGGTCCTGCTGGCTAAACGAGACCATATTAATACATTTGTAATACAATAACCAGACTACCATGATGATAACCAAATTGTACATTCTGCTACTTCCAAGCACAAGTACTGGGTATTTCAGAGGAGACAGCCAATCAGCACCACGGACAAGGCCGTATGATGGATGTAATACCCAATCAGCACCACGGAGAAGGCTGTATGATGGACGTAATACCCAATCAGCACCACGGAGAAGGCTGTATGATGGACGTAATACCCAATCAGCACCACGGACAAGGCCGTATGGTGGACGCAATACCTAATCAGCACCACGGACAAGGCCGTATGGTGGACGCAATACCCAATCAGCACCAAGGACAAGGCCGTATGGTGGACGCAATACCCAATCAGCACCAAGGACAAGGCCGTAGCATGGACGTAATAACCAATCAGCACCACGGACAATGCAGTATGATGGACCTGATGGCTAATCAGCACCAAGAACAATGCTGGGCGATGTACTTTACAAGGATCACAAATGCAAGGTATTTTTTTCATCTATGTTGGTGTTCCCAAGAGATGTCTCACGAAGGTGTGAGATCTACGAATTCTCTATTTCTATCAGATGTGCCTGTTTTAATGACCTAAATACATAACTGCATTAGACACTTTGTGAGCTATGGTAGTAGACAAATTGGAGTTCCTTATATCAAAGTAATAACTACACTGATTTATTTTGCAGAAAAGGTCGTAAAACATTAATCAATCACATTAATCAATCGACGCAGTTTTCCATGTTGAAAGAACAGACGACAATTTCTGACCAATGACCATTTCTCACCAATCGAACCCAAATACATAAATGCATTAAACTATTACATTTGCGTATATAGTAATAAAGAAAAGTAATCAATTGACAAAGTAATCACTAGCTGTACCAGACAATTTATTTTGCAAGAAAGTGTGCTAGGGTAGTAAGAATAGTTGACAGAATATTGCATATTAAAGTAACAGACGACACTTTCTGACCAATAACCATTTCTGACCAATGAACCAAATACATAATTAATAGACAATTACATTTGTGAGTATATGGTAGGAAAGAAAACAACTGCATTGACGCAGTTTTCCGGCCAAAGAGAATCGAGCATTTAGGATATATTTTCTGTACTCACTCACATCACTACAGATAGACTCCCACACACACTGTGGTACAGACGCTCCCGAAATTCACCGACCCCGTGCCACAAACTGTGACATTACAACACCGACGCTCTGAGATTCGGGACGTCTAAACCTTCCATTTGTAAGGTGAGATAAATCTACGTATATTCAAGGTGCGAAATACAATTTGTTTCTCGGGTTGTCTACTGGACCAACTAAGCCAAAAGCTAGTTTGGCTGTTTAGTTCAGAAGGCAAGCCGAGCAACATGGCGTCTCCAGTAAGTCTCGCACAGAAAACATGACTTGCGCGGCGAGAGTGGCTTTTTCGAACCCTGTAATATCTTATTGCTCACTTTACATCAACAGCTGTTCTACGGTTCAGTTTACGAATATTTAGTCTAAATTATTATCATTAAATTATTATCATTCAACAAATATGTAAAAATAAAAAACTCAATGGAAAGCTATCATACTATACTTATTTTGACAAGAGGTATAATGTTTGTAAGAAAATTTCTTTTCTTTTGTTAAAAGTGGTAGGGCCAATGTAGACAATTTGGGGGGTAATCCTTTGTTTATTTGTTTCTTTCCATAGGAAACGTCTTGTTGCAGAGTGCACTGTCACGACTCAACATGGGATCTCTGACCTCATTTTTCCTTTTCACTTTGATAACAATTACTATTGGGAAAACTGTTGATTACACTGGGCGTAACTTATTACGTGTCCCAATAGATAATATCAAAGATGCCCATGTCGTAAAATTATCAGACAACAAAATAACCGACCTTGGTTCTTTCAATTCATCTCCACTCATACGGTATCTCTACGCCGACAACAATAAGGTAAACAACATTTCGAGGCAAACGTTTCAAGGGCTAGATGAATTACTGTATCTCAATCTGGCTACAAATTACATTTCGACCCTTCGCGAATTCACTTTTTCTGCTCTTTCGGTGTTGTTGGATCTTTACCTAGTTAATAACTACATCGCTACAATATCAGACAGCGCATTTGAAGGCTTGGCAAATTTGGAATACCTCGATCTTTCTGGAAACCTTTTGCCTGTGTTTCCAACGCAAGCCATCAAGTTAATTCCTAGCAATCAGCTCCTTTTGGTTATGCTTCGAGTCAACAAGATCAGACAAATACCGGCAGATATAAAAACAATACACCCTTTAACTTCTTACGATTTACAGGGCAACCCTTTGAGGTGTTCCGCTGAACTCCTAGCAAGCCGAGGGAACACGTCAAACCCAGGATACGATTTAGGAGTATCCTATTACAGTATCATCACAAGACATAATCGATCTTTCGTTGAAAAAACGACCTTTATCAAAAAACCTTTCAAATACTTTGGTGTTCGTCCACACATGCTCCACGTATTTGAAAATAATGGCATTACAATAGATCTGCCCTTCACGAGATCTTTCTTGTATAAATATTATTGGGATACCCCAACTGGAAGATACCGATTAAGTCCCGGGGGAACAGGAAAAAGTAGTATTGAAAGGTTTGCTGTTAGAAACTCTGGTCTATACACGTGTGTAGCACACAGGGGTCATATCAAAATGATGTATGATGTACTACTGTGTATGGATCTTAGACGCAAGGAGGAAGAACAACACCAGACTAAAATGCCCGCAATTGAGAACTTGAATGACAACAGTACCGACACTTGTACCTTTTTTACAAATCAGTCTTGTTGTGGGTCAAAGGATAATCACAAGTTCTGTGTTGAAAGCAACATCACTCTACAAACAAACAATGAAAGTGGACATAACGCCTTACTAGTGATTGTACCTGTTAACTTAGCCGTCATTTTTATAGCGTTCCTTCTTTTGGCTATATATTGTTGGAGAAAATATCGTGCTAAATCTCGCCCTCAAGTCCCTCACGTCGTTACTGCAACATGGCACGTTGGGCAACAAGCGGCGGCTGTCAGTATCTCTGCTCCCGTCGTGCCCGGTTCAGTAGGACGCTCAGAAGAGGTGGGATCTAACCGGAACCACCAATGTCTCCGAGGTTCGCTTTTGCAAGAGAGTCCGTCAACCGCAGGAACGATTGAACTTAGTTTGGACTCTCCTGCAGTGGTGCACACTACACATGTGCAGATCCATCGTCACCTGGACGATGGTGCATCAGAGCATAGTGAGGATGATCATCTATATGAGGACGCCGATGGTCACCTTAACGCTTCTGCAGCGCAGCCTCCACTACCAGTACAAAGCAATGACAACAACGCTACTGACAATTGTGAAGACGATGATCTATATGAGGATGTGGATGGTCGCCCTTACGCCTCTGCCGCACCTCCTCCTGTCCCCGATGATGCGCTACTAGAGCCCTCACCTATATTCAACCCAGGGCAGCAGGCTACAAGGGCCTTGAACTTACCGCAAGAAATGTCTGTACAACCTACTGAGTGCATCGAGAATATCGTAGCGGGTGGGGAAGTAGGGCCACGGGGAATAGCAGCAGCGAACAGACTGTATCAACAAGGTACACATCTCAATCATAGATCGGGCTCCGGTCAACACGAGCTCACGACATCTGCAGCTTACGGCTGTGTGGAGGGTGCCAGCCAAACTGAAACGACGTGTTCTCTTTCGAGAAGCAGCTTGTATTCACAATCTCACAATGTAAGTCATAGAACATATCCGGGTCAATACAATCTCACAGCAACGTATAACTGCGAGGAAGGTGCCAATCAAACCGAAACAAGCTCCGTTCTTTCAAGAAGCAGTTTGTATGGACAGCGATCAGGTCACAGAACCCTGGCTCGTGATATTACCAGAACTGACGACCACACTGCAGAAGCAGTGAACGCCCTGTATGAGAGTATGTAATGTTGGAGTGAATACTACATGTACCGTGTGGTTGCTCATAACCTCACAGATAAACGTAATACGTGTGCCTGTTCGGCCTTACACTAGAGCATATATTACCATACTAGCGAATGAGTATTTGTAAGTATTTCAAGTTTTATTATTTGCTGTGATGTTTCATAGTTGCGTATTGAAGTAACCGTATCGTAAGGCAATCAGCAGTTCACATAATTCTATCGGGAGACCGCTGGATGTAGCTGTATAGACAAGGATGTTACTGTCATACCTCGTTGCGTGGGACACCATGCTATAGGGGCTATGCAGAACCTGTATATACAAGTAATACTAGTTGGTGTAGTGATGCACAATTAAGGAAATTAAAACGAAGAAGTCATTATGATGTAATATTGTAGTGTTGTTCACACACACACACACACACACACACACACAAACACAGACACACACACACGCACGCACGCACACACACACACACAAGCACACACACTGACACACACACACATCTGATCTGATCGATACGTCAGTAACATTATTACTACTTTTTATGCAAATAAGTATGAATGTAGGTAACCCAATGATTACTAAAACCTCAAAAGAACGTACAGAAAAGGCCACGTCGCCATGGTACCAAACATACACCATGACGTAACCATCTGACCATTTATCGTCTGCACATGACGTCATCAGCCACTCGTGCCATGGCGCCGACCGAGAGCAGCGCCGAGGTGCGAACATCGAAATACTCCTGGAACGGCGAGCAAAAACAGCCGCATGGTCAACCAGTGCAGATCGTCTGGAGGAATGTGGTTTTCATGTCTCTTCTGCACCTCGGGGCGGTCTACGGGTTAGTCCTCCTCCCTCAGGCCCATATATACACTGCCGTGTGGGGTAAGTCTTAATATTCACCGCAAGTACACTTACTCGTATACGTTAGAGCTATGTTGTTGTATCAAACCTTTACGTACAGTGAGACTTTTGAAAACGCAAACTTACTCAGGGATGTTATGTAATTACAGGGACGATTTCTATTTCTGAAGTATACTTTTGATGGTAATTACACTGACGGTTGCTATTTCTGGTATATACCCTTGATGGCACTCATGCTGTATGTCTACCTTCTGACGTAATGTTAGAACTTAGACCTTATCAGGACAACGCACACATCCGGATTTTCTACGGTGATATCAGTATTAAGGGAAGTCATGGTCTACAGTGCACCAAAGTGAAAAGACGTATAAGATTAAATTCAACAGGTGAATGGAGACTATACTTCTATAGGTAGCAGTAGGAGGTGAACGGGGACGTTCTAAGTTTCTTCTGGCTTCTTTGCGGTGTGTTACAAGTTCGCGTTTGAAACAAGTTCAGTGGTAGATTGATTTATGTCTGGCAGCAAGTCAAGTCTTTCATCAGGCCCAATAGAACAACATAAAGGAAACACAAGTTCACCACCACCTTCTCCACTAAAGCCGCCCCAGTAACCGCCACTGACGTGAAAGTACGCGCGCAACACTGGACATCAAAGAAAACATACGTACAATGACAGAAAAAGGGTAGCGTTCACGACGGTGCCTGTTGTTTTTATTCAATTATATCCGTACTAGTATGTACTCCTGGCAAGACAAGAGCTGGAGTTTTTGTTCTGACGTCCAGATTCTAGTGCTGTGAGTCTGCAGTCGCTCTGGGAGATGAAATGGCGTGTGGTCTTGTTGTACACAACAAAATCTCTCGGTTGTGCCAATAAATTCACTAGAACTCCTGGGGGCTGAAATTTCTCGTTAGAAGTAAAGTCTATAGCTTAACAGACATTTCTTTGTTAAGTTTTAGGTTTCTAACTTTTAGTGTGTTCTTTTTTACCCACAGCGATATTGCTTCACTACTTCAGCGGTGTTCTGGGGATCACGGCAGGGGCACACCGACTGTGGGCACACCGGACCTACAAGGCCAGGCTCCCGCTCAGAGTAGTCATGGCTATGGCTAACTCAGTAGCATTCCAGGTACAGATATGGCCCTGTGCTACCGCAGGATTACTCAAAACAATGCAACGAAACAGCGAGTAAGTTTTAAAACACGTCACTTAGTCAAAGGAGGTATAGAAATGTAAAACTATTGCATGGAAAAAGCGACGACTTTAGTTGTAACGAAATGGTGTTAGTAGACTTCGCTAACCTTTAATAAGGAGCAACAAGTTATTGTGACTTACATCTATTGTTCTTACATCTCCGTTGCAGAATCATATTCACGAGTGGTCACGTGACCATCGGTGCCATCACAAGTACTCGGAAACGAACGGCGATCCCCACAATGCCTCGCGCGGGTTCTTCTTCTCCCACTGTGGTTGGCTCCTGGTCAGAAAGCACCCGGATGTCATCGCCAAGGGCAAACAGATCGACCTGAGCGACTTGGCGGCTGACCCTGTCGTCAGATTTCAGAAAAGGTACTTAGTTAGAGATGAGATGGATTATTGAAAAAAAAATATCCAAAAGACCGGCAAGACAATATAAGGAAGCGTGAAAGAAAAAAAAACAGAATACAAATTAGTGTTACAAATTAAGCTGAAAGGGCTGAGTTAGATCCTTGTCAGCGGTTGTATCTGTCACAACCTGCTTGAAAATTCTACAACCTAAAAACCTCACAAAGGCCTATGACAATTGTGTACATAATCAGTGTACATAACGTTACATATTTTGATTTTATTTCATTTATGATATCTGTTTGTTTCCTATGCCATGTACAGGTACTACTTGCCGTCCGTCCTGTTGCTGTGCTTTACTCTCCCTACGGTCGTCCCGATCCTGGCGTGGCGGGAGAGCCTGACTAACGCCTTCTGCATCGCCGTGCTGTCCCGTTACGTCCTCACGCTGAACGCCACCTGGCTGGTGAACAGCGCAGCGCACCTGTGGGGAACCCGGCCGTACGACCGCTCCATCCGCCCCGCGGAGAACCGCTTCGTGTCGTCTGTAGCGGGCGGTAAGAGGTGTACGGTTAATGAATGAAAACCTTTTATTATCTTGAAAGTTCATCTTGGGAGTAAGTGGTTGGGAATATCACATGAAACTCGTTTGGCGTCGTGTGGTGTAGTGGTACATCACTGGACTACGAAGCGGGAAGACCCGGGTTCGATTCCGGGTCGTACCCGAACAAGTCCGAACATGCGCCCCGACGTTGTACCCTTGGGAAAGGTACTTTACACGACTTTCCTCACTTCACTCAGGTGAAAATGAGTACCTAGCTTTGGCTAGGGACGTCCCTCGGATAGGACGTAAAATGGAGGTCCCGTGTTTGGGAGAGCCACACCCCACGCACGTTAAAGAACCCACCGCACTTATCGAAAAGAGTAGGGGACCTTCCCGGTGTGAGTGGTTCAAACCTTACAGCCTGGTCTCGGGGTTGACATCTTTGAAAAGGTGGTAGTCACCTGTTATGTCAATCCTTCCACAAATGTGGTAAATCTTCATAAATACATAAATTAAGTGATAAAGTTCTATCATGATATAGTTTTAAATGACATGGGTTTTTGTGCCATCACTACTCCAGGCGAAGGTTGGCACAACTACCACCACACCTTCCCCTTCGACTACGCCACCGGCGAGCTGGGCTGGAGACTCAACATGACCACCGTGTTCATAGACCTGATGGCGTGGGCCGGACTGGCGTACGATCTCAGGACAGCGCCACCTAGCGTCGTCAGGGCCAGGGCGTTACGGACAGGGGACGGGACGTGGGGGGAGCAATACTGAAATATGTGACTTATCCACTTGTTGTGTTTACCGAAGGATAACATATTGTTTTTGCTTTGTTTCCTCTTTTTCTTCTTCTCCAAACCAATAACGTCAATGACCTGACCCAGACGTCCGTCACCATGGTAACTAGTTAGGGTTACATCATGTTGCAATTTTATAGCAGGAGGGATTTACACTCAAGTCTGATCATATATATATGTGTTTGAGTAAGAATTTACAAAGCAGGCCATATGGATATGGGAAGGTAAACATTATGCATTTACTTTGCAAATGTTACATTTCTAGTTTTTTTTTTATATCTACTTGATCTCACATATCTTATATCTCAAGGTATAGAGGTATTGCTTTGGGTGTGTTTGTGTGTCTGCTTGCTTGTGCTCGTAGGCACTTGACTTAGGGTGCCACAGATTGCGCGACTTAGCTAGCTTGTATAAGTCTAACGCTAGCTGGTATGATTCTAACTTGTACATGCCTCTGCATGGGATTAAGGAATAGGGTAATTTCCAGCCGTCACGTAATGAAGTGAGACGTGACTGTCCCTGACGTGAGTCGGCAAAAATCGCGAGTGTCAGATCTGAGTTGCGTTTGCGGTGGCTTGGGAACCTCAGTGCACGGTTTGAAATAGGCACGTACATGTATGTATATGGCAAAAACAACTGAGGGAACGTGTATATACATAAAAACATACACACCTACTGCATTGTTGCAGTGTCCTTTCAGGCTATAAAGATAGTAGCGAGAGTGTAAAAGCATCCGCACTGTCCGAAACCTTACCTGTATCTTTAAATTTGTGTGTTCTCGTTTTTGTTTGTGTTATGATCGTAATGTATGTCTATCTAACAGTATGTAGACCAATATGGGGGAAGAAATTAAAACAAAAAAGGTGCATAGAGATTTTTTTTTCAAATGTATTCAATGTATGCAAGAATAGTAAACGAGAAAAACGAAAGGATCTAAGCTGACCTGAAAATTGTTTTTAAGTCACAATTTCTCGATACGGGATTTGGGGCCTCGTCGATACTATAGCCCCGCCCACCTTCATCGAAACGTAGAAGTACAAAATAAAACATTTAACATCCGACTGACTTTGACGGACATGCAGCCGCTTTCTCATTGCTTGAAACGATAATTGCTTGTGCACCATTGGCTGAACTGTTAAAAAAATTGCTAGACAGTGAGGGTAGGTCTATGCTCAGATGAGCAGAGCGTGGGCCCGGCTACAACAGCTGTTGATGATGGCATCTTCTTGTGTTTGTCTATCCTGTTAGCTGCACCTGACAGATGAGTTGATGAAAAGATCGTTGTCTAAATATAAAGTGCTGTACGTGTAGTACGTGATGGTTCGTCTGTCTTGAAATGAGGTTGGTAGTAGATTCGTCCTACGATGACAGTTACTACTACAGGGTTACTGAGCTATACATGTATATAAGCCATGCGTGCTCTTCAAGTCCGTCATTTATATTTATGAATTAGGCTTTATGTGGAAACTATAACCTCCTAGGCTTAACAACGTTAATGATAGAATATGCACCTTTTATGACCACATACATGTACATCTAATAAACCAACAGCTTGTCTACAGTATGCTGTATCTGTATAGCCGGTATAACCGCCCTTCGACGTAACGCACCAGCTTGCCTTGAGATATCTTAGTTCTGTATTAAGCACATATGATTATCATTCCACAGAAGTCCGAATTGTCTCCCAAATCTACTCCATGAAAGAATATTTATGGCATTTATAAAGCTATGCTGACTACAAATGTGTAGAAACACAGACAGACATACAGACACACCAAAAACAATACCTCCATTTTTCATGGAGGTAACAAGTAATTCAATGACACGTGCGTTTAAGTCTGCCTTTCTGTTATATAAAACGTACTTATTTTTCCGTTGGGTAAAAGGGTGGCTCTAGGGACAGGTGGGATCTACAAATCATCTGTATGGTCCTGTCTAGACGACCGAGCACGTATATGATCATCGGGACTGCGTGTGGACAGATCTAATAGCAGTCACGCATCTGAACTTGTCTCTATGCTCATGCAACGAAGAATTATCTTAGCCGAGAAGGTTTATGTCTTCGTGTGTGTGAGTCTGTCATTGTGTGTGTGTGTGTGTGTGTGTGTGTGTGTTTGTCTGTGACTTTTTGGGTGGATCTTTACGATCATGATTTTGTATGTTAGTAGGAGTTGGTAAAATGAATTCGAAGAAATGATTAGAATATGAGGCCCCTGGCGATTTTCCATTGCACTACAGCAGGACTTCAGGTTTTGATATCTCGCGCTCTGGGCATGTTACACGTATGGTCATGACTGTTTAATGCCTTTTGTTGTACTGGGACATCTCTTAAAACCGGCGATAACATCCTTAGACAGTACGCAATAGGGAATAAGGTGGCGCCTCCGTCTGTTTGTGTATGCTCGCTGTGGATCAGTTCGCCTTGTTCTCAGGGTCTTTGGAAACATTTCAATAAAATAAACTTGTCCAGCTCTCACACGCACATCCAAAACGTGGGAACTGGGAGGTCTGTTATTTCTGAACTCCATTTTGACGTCCTGTGTCTTTCTGCCCGTCAATCTTCCCCCCACCCACGCACTGATAAATGTACTCTGTCCGGACAACCTGACACACAAACCGACAGCTCAGCCACCCAAAACAATACTTCTGTATGCATCTAAACCAACTGATAACAGCCTTTTGGTATGTGTGGATAAATGCTGGCATTTTCCAGCTTGAGAGGTATTTCTCTTTCTATTTTGTTAAAAAAACTGCCTTTTAGTCTTGTTTTGGCTGCCCTGTAGAGCTCTAAAAGTAATGCCATGTTATGTTTTGGTGGTGTACAGGGGGGTCAGAGGTCATGCTGTTTCCGTCCATCGTACTTATTTTCACTGATTAGAAAATGAGATTTTTGGACTAAATAGACAGTTTGGAGGTTGGACTACCCTGTCAATTTTAGTTTGCAATAGTTGAACACTCAAGTATGTGATGTTTGACAGCTCAGTTCTTAGATTACCATATATCTATCCGCTGGATATGGTGGTCTATGGCCATTACGGTCAATCATGAAGCTGTATGGTACCGACTGGCAGACGAGACGACCCGCGTTAGCCCTGGCGCTGAGGTTCCGCACGTGGCACGGGATTAAACCAGTTGGAACCACGGTCCTTAGATGTGAACAAGCTGTTACTAGCGGAAAGGTTACTGCGGTAATTTGTTGGAGTGCGAACCAAAGTTCGGTGAAATCGTACTCAACTATACGCAGGGTCACGCCACCAAGACTTGGTTGAAAGTTAAACTCCTTCCGACATCTTTTGTTGTACAGGGCAGTGCTCATCTATGTTCCTCTATATATATAGGCTCTTGGGCCACACAGTTATGCAAGTAGTACCAAACTGTATACACAACTATAACTGTGACTACAACTATAACGTCCTTCACTTTAACCGAGGGACGCATCTGTCAGTGCTAACTACCCTAACAGTCATCTTGAATTAAAGCCAACGACGAGCAGCGTTCAAGGCGTTTTTGAAAGATCTTCACTGCCCCAAAGCGTGAGAGGTTATTACATCTCGGTATAATTTGTGGGGGATTTGTGAAGGTCGATGGCTTGGGCTCCACGGCACGTACTGGGGCCGGTTATCGGCCGATTCATAAACCAACCACCGCTGATGCATGGACTGCACACGGTGAAATGCCGTGCGTGTCGATACGGGACACAATATGAAGGTTCTGTCAAGGCCAAGCCAAAATAGCCTCAAATCCAGTCGTGAATGTTATACCATCTTCGTTAGAGCGGAGGTAGAACAGAGCGGGTATAGTACTCACTAAGGCGACTGGATTTCAGGCTAATTACAAGTCGATGCCAGGGCCTACACAAGTCAACAATTCGGCAGCAGGACCGGTGCAACATGCCACCGAGGAAAGTTTGCCTCAGTACCCCCATAGGATAGGCCCTTTAAATTGAATTCATCCTGGCAAAATCATCGAGGTTGGCTTGGTTGGTCAGGCGGGGATAGAAGCTTATAGAGCCGAGGAAACCCTGCCCGCAGCCCTGGGAGACACTGGTGTCCAGGTTAAGATCCCGTCAGCTTGTTCTCGTCAGCTCAGCACGGCTGACCTTCGGGGAGATTTTTGCACCGCGCGCCCCGAGCTTCATGTAGGATTTACTCACAAAGGTTCAAGTTTTGACGATGGACAGATGTTGTGAGCGGATGACAAACGGAATGAGTGAGGGGAGGAACCACGAAGGCCGAAAGGAACATTTGGACGTGCAAGGGGATTGAAAAACAATGATTTTTGTCATAACTAATTGTTTCAAACTTTGGAGGAGCGCAGTTTGAACACGTCTCCTCATCCTGACTTATTTTCTGTTGTGTTCTGCAAATATTAAAAAGTAAGTAAGTCTGCAAATATTGTTATGGGATCAGGGCGTGATCAGGAGCCTGGCGAACAACCAGCAACAACGTCTCCTAGTATTCAGTCGTACATTCAAACATGGTCTTTCAAACAAGCACGATATGATCAGCGGAGGCGCGTAAGTAGTACTCCAAGTGTTTCTGATATTGCTCCGTATATTTCTCAGTCTCTATGTGCATCGTTAGTAAGCGGTTTTACCTTAGTTTGGCGTATGCATGACCTCGGGACACACTTACGGACTTTGTCACAGTTTGTGCTCATGTCCTGTCACGTCCAGCCCGTCTATCGATGTTTGGAGGACCCTTGAGATACTCGTTATGCATAGCAACGGCTTTAAGCACCTGGACTCCTGTCGATATTGGGAGTAAACTAGTAATCCGGGTAAACCCTCGCCCTCCAGGGCACGAATAATGTCCTCTCGTGGCGCTAGAGCTGTTTTACTAAGTATTTTTGTGATCCAAGGACGCACTGGAAACGGTAAAGGTGGTACATGGTGCAATTGGAGTATTAACGCACCCGTAAATATCATGAAAATTGACTTAAAAAGTGCCAATCTGTATCTGTATAGCCAGTATAACA